CCCGACCGCTGCAACTGCTGCCTCATCTGCGCCGCGGGCGAGGGGGACTCCTGCGGCCGCAAGGAGGACCCGCCCTGCGGGGACAGCCTCGACTGCCGCTACCCCATGGGCAAGCGCTTCGCCAAGGGGGTCTGCCAGTGCAAGCTCAGCGCCCAGGTGTGCGGCAGCGACGGCCGGACCTACGACAACATCTGCCAGCTGAAGGCGGTGAGCCGCAAGGCGCTGCAGCACGGCCTGCCCGCCGTCGCCCAGGTCCAGAAGGGAGCCTGTGAATCGGGTAGGAGCATGGCGGGGACTCCCCGTGCCGGGACGGCCTCCTGGGGCGGGGGACGGCGCGGGGTGTGCTGAGGGGAGCTGTGATTTTCAGTGGCCTGGGAAGACCTGGGTGGCCCCGGTGACTGTAAGAGGTGTCGAGGCCAAGGCACCTTACCCTGCGGCTAGGGATGGCTTTGGTGTGGGGAAGGGGTGCTGGGGGCCTTTCTGAACACGGACATACCCCTTGTTGGTCCTCAGTCTGGGCTAGAGGAGTCAGCTGAGGTTTGCAGAGGTTTCCCCTCGGTAGCATGGCCACGGACACCTTGGCGTTGTGTACATCACTGCCACAGCAGTCCCGTGAGCGGGAGGCAAACGCACTCAGTATGGAAGTGAGCTCGGTGGAGGCACTGGGCTGTCAAGGTGGGGCACTGGTTACACCCTCGGCCGTCGCCTCTTCTCAAGGCAGGGTACACTGGCTGGGCAAGCATACTGTCATCCTGCCAAGGCTGCCTTCGTTTCGTAATGTCAGCACTCACTGCTGAAGCGTTTTGGTGGCATCACCCGTGCAGGTTGCGTTGCAGATGCAAGCAAAGCGGAGGTCAGGGAACCCTCATGCTCTGGCCTTCCCTGGTGGTATCTGGGACATTAATTGGATTCACCTGACAGGCATCTCTAGGCAGAAAAAGCCTCTTAAAGCCATGTAGCTCGAACAGGCAGAAAAAGCACCGAGTAGTATATAAACCACCTAAAACATAGTCTTATGCCTGTTTTGTTTTCGCAGGAAATTTCATAGTCTTGTAGAGTCTAAAGTGAGAGAAAATGCCTGCAAACCTCCTTTACAGTTTAAAATTTTGACACTTAAGATACTGAATGATCTTCTGTTTGCAGTAACATGCTGAGGCCTTTGCTTGGATATTGTGATATGCTATGGCACCTTCAAGCTTAATGGTTTAACTTCAGAAAGTTTAATGATCACTTCAGTTAGTAAACTTTTGTAGTATTAAAATGGGTCACTTTATGGAAGTGTTAATGCTGCTAATATCACGTACTTACCGATAGGTTATTTTAAGGGTTTGCTTCTGCTACCTTTCTCTTACGTGTTCCTGGAAAGCAAAGCCATATCCGTAGTGGAGCTTTAAATCATGCATTAGTGTTTCCATTATGTCAGGTGAACCACTGACTGTCCTGTTTATTCATAGATAGTGAACTTGCCAAGATTATTGGGAGGGATTAGAGAGAAAAGGGCTACAGTAGTAGCCTTTCTGTGAATATGGGATCTTTCATATATCCTGCTCTTGAGAGAAGGCAAACTGTGGTGTAGAGGGAGGAGGTCAAATTATATTTCTGGAGTTCCTTTAGGAGTATCTTGTCAGAGACAAGAATTGCTCCAAATGCCAGCCTGGAGCTGCAAAGATCTGTCTCTCCAGTATTTTGTAGTCATGAACTGCTGTTTGCCTGTTCCTTTTCACATCAGCATCTGTTAGCTTTAGTACTCCTAATATTGGTTGGATCTGATCCACATGAAATAATTAGAATGTTTAACCAAAATGAGTGAGCTATAGGCTGCATCTAAGGGCTTACTGAGTACCTGGGGTTTGGTATATATGACATTTTCTTTAAGGAATCTTCTTGAATCTATTGTTAACAGGCTTAGGAATTTGGACATATGTAGCCATGAGGTGGAGGTAACTTTTTCTTTTTTTTTTTCAGGCAACTATTTTAGTGTTCATTTTATTTTGGTTTTATTTTTTTTGCCAGAAAGCCTCAGCTTAGATGAAGCATCTGGTTCTCTGTTAAGTTTTAATTTACTTTTTTTTTTATTCAATTCTACAGCTGCACAAACTGAAGCTCAAAGAAACCAAGTGTCTTCCCAAGGTCAGACTGAGTTGGTGGTTGAGCCAGGAATAGAACTCAATTATAGTATTTTTAAATTTTTTTTAAAACAATAACATTCAATGGCTGTAATGAGAGGTTTAGAAGAAAGTCAACAGTTTAAAATTACTGTCGAGTTTCTCTCTTTTCCCTGTTCTTGAAAGAAATCTGGCCTCAGATGACTCAGAGTTTGAAGGGCTAAGTCAGTTATGAAGTAAATTCAGTTCTACTTAACCATACATATATTAAAACAATCTCAGATAACAGTAACCTTACACAGCATGATTTAGGCCATTTTCAGAATGTGCAGTGACCCCGAGGAGCAGCTTTTGAAATGTCTGATTCTGTCCATTTCCAGTTGCTTATGTCACTGCTAAGTTAGGTTCTGGCTGTGATAAACCAAGATAGGCTGAGAAAATTTAGCTGTGGTTTCCTAGTGACAGAATTCTGGTGAACAAGGATGCATGAAAAAGGAGTAGTAAAGAATAGAAAAGGATGCAGGGAGGGAGGAAGAAAACAGGTGCTGAGGATAACTGAGTGGTAATTCCATAAGTGACAGAATTTACAATATGTTTTTACTTGTTGAAGTCCTGGATTAGGTTGAAGAACAGCATGCCAAATTACAAGTTCTAGATACAGTGTACTAAAGGGGGTGTGTACTGCATGGAGGTACTGGAACTCTTTCATGGATATTCTTCAATACGCCTATGCCCTGAAAAATATTACTCATACAGTTAGCCTTACGTGTCTCAGCAGACCCCTGGACTTCTCTGAGATACTAATAGGAACAGCTGGCAGAACTCCTAGGCAGATTGAATCTATATGCTACAGATATCCTTTTTTTTCTCTTCAACACTAGATACCTTAATATATGAGAATCTTCTGAAGCAGCTAGCTTTTTCCTGCCTTCTGTTGTCTACTGTGAGAAAGGCAAGCTATTACAGGCTAGTGTGTAAGTAATGGCATAAACATTTACAGAAGATGACCCCTAATCAAAGACCTGTTCTTACAGAGCCCTGCTTTTCACTGCAGCCAATTTAAATTTTAAAAATGCCACATATCAATCTATTAAAGTGTCACACTCCTCAGTCAAAGGATTCACACGGTCACCTGTAATCTATGGACATTTTATGTCAGGCTCTTTCTTTCACAAAGTGCTGTTTGTGATCTCTCTGTACAGATTTCTTAGTACAGTTAATAATTCCCTGCAATATTATTTTGCTAATGGCTTCTGTGAAGACAGTTCAGATGTCAAAAGATTTATATTTTCTCACCTAGGATGTGAAAGTGAAAAAAAAAAAAAAAAGTTTTTGAAAAATATGGGTGCTGTCTTGCCAGTGCAGCAAGGAAAACTAAAAGTTTGATTAGAAAACCTTTGGAGGAAAGAAGTTCCAGAAAACAAGTTCATTGGCTTTGACACTGATCCTTTGCAGGGTTGTGCCTGAGAATGTCTGTCCTCTGTGTTGTTTAACTGAAGTCACTCTCAGAAAGTGGTCATGATGTACAGCCTCGCCCATGTCAGTCAAATCTTTGCAAGATATGGGTCTAAAAGTGCAGTTCCCTAAATGAAATGTGTGAAATGTCATTAATGCATGAGCAGAGTCATTGCATGCAGTTCTACATGGGGGTGTTTGGAGTGTTCCTGTATGTAACCTTGAATCTGTAGAGGAACAACTGAGCATATCATTACTTGCATTTCTGAGAGATTGGCCCAGTAAGAGCTACCGAAGTCTCCTAGTGGTATTGTCATCAAAGCCTTACAGCTGCCTTCAGCTGTATTTAGGGAAATGCACAGCAAGGTGCTGGATAGAAAAGCAAATTCTAGTCACATTCCTTTACTTGTTGTTTTCCTTACGTCTGAGTTTGTTTTGAGTTCCCGCAGGTGAGGATGGATATTGTACAGTGTTTGGTGTATATATATAACACAAAGCATTAACACCTCACTGCTTTGTATAGGATAGCTAACAGGAAAAAGGTGTTCTCATTGCGTCTCTGAGCATCTGAAGTCGGCAAGGCAGTGAGGTGCCTGTGCTGGAAGGCTTATGCCAGTCTGTCTCCATCTGACCATTGTGATTGCTGCACTGCACAAGAAAGCCACTTTGGTGTTGGTTCACCAAATTGTTTTCATCTCTGCACGGTAGACATCCATTGTATAAACAAGTCGCCTGAACCATAATGTGGCATTAAACTCACCAAGGCTTTATGGTCAGTGCACAGCTATGCAACTTGATCTTAATGCTGAATTCATTGGAAAAGCTGCCCATGAACCTATATATTCCAGCAGATGTTTCTGTTTTTTAAGCAGAGACATTATAATCTTTTATTTGTCTTTCATTTCTTTCCATGAAAGCACAGTAGGGACAGTGTTTATCCCTGGTGATCAGATCTGCCAGGTTGCAGTCTTCCCTTAGTCATAATAATTTTGCTGAACATACAGATCTTTTCTGAAGCTGGTTTTAAAAGGGAGATGGGGGAACAGCCTTGAAAGAATGAGTTTCCCAGGCTCACAAAATCTTAATGAATATAAAATTGTGGATTTTAATACAATGTATTGTCTTTAAGAAGCCATTGAAGGTAATTTGATTTAATTCTACAGGGAGTAAGTTGGCAGATATTCAGAAACTTTCAGTCTTTTGCAAATGTAAATTGGTCTAGCTTGTCTTCAGTGGGATTATGATGATTTATTTCTGCTGAAATTTTTTCCAGTTCTCTGCATGCTAGGTTAGCTCTGCAAATTTGTTGGAGTTGTTCCTGATTTATGGCAGTGTTAATGAAATTGGAGTGGGTCTGTTGTCTCTACCAGAAAGCAAATAAAACACTATTAAATTAACTCATAGCCTGTAGATAACATTACTATGCAGGCAAAGTCTTAAGCTGATAATAAGGATTCTCCTACCTGACAGTCACTTTAGCCATGTAAATGCAGTGTAGTTGGAGCCCATAGAACTGGAAATGTAAGTTCACATCTTACAAAATAGGCTGAACATCTTGAGCTCCAGTTCATGTACTTACATCCAAATCTGGATTTTGAGTGTGTGAAAGGAACTGGATAGCTTTTGAAAATCTAATCACTTAATTGAAATGATAGGATGGGAGTTCAGATCTGCTGAAAATCTGGTTGATGTGTGGCTATGGAGCAGACTGGGAAAGTCTAGTTATTTTGATTAAGAAATGTTTGGACAGCGAAAGACTCATACAGTGTAAATTTGTTTTTGCTTCAAGTACAACCTGGTTGAAACACCTTTGATGTCTTGGTTATGCAACAGATAGTTAATTGGATTAAATTATGGCTTTTTGCCAAGATAAATTAGCTTTGGTTAGTGTGAGATTACTTTGAGCATGCAGTAATAACATGGAAAATAATGATGTTATTGAGCGATCTTTGAAAAAATATGTGGCAAATCTCACTAGGTCAACAGGTCAAAATACCCAAAGCTGCTGTAAACTCAGAGCTTTTACATTCGCAGTCCAGCAGAGGTCTGAGAGCTGCATGAAACTGCAAGACAGCAAGAGTATCGAGGTGGGGGGGAGTTCTTACTGGGTTTAGTAAGAACAGTAGCAGTAACTAGTGTCTACCAACTAATGCAAATTAAAAGATAGATTGAATGTCTGACATAAAGCCCTGACTCTGTTACTACAGTTACAACACTTCTTTTCAGGGTGACTTTATACAACTTCTTGTATAAAAGCTTACACACCTTCTACAATGTTGGATGTTGCTTCCTTCTTCAGCTTCCCAGGCTGCAGTTCCTCCCTTTTAAAGTATATTGAGAACTTCTGGTGAAAACCAATAGTTTAATAGTTATGCACTAAAACGTTATTAATATTAAACAACGTTTCAGTTCCCTTAAATAGGGCTATATGTATGCGAGTAAACGTTAGTTTGCAATTACATTTTCCAAGTCCACAGTTTGAGCTCCTGGCATGTCATATAATGTGTTTAAAGGTTTTTATCACACCCAGCTTGGAGAAAATTATTCCAATAGATCAGTTTCAGTGAAGACCTCTCAACTTTGTAAGTCAGTTTTCACCAGAGTTTAGTCTCCGTCAGAGAACGGAAGAAGAGCTCATCTCTAATCAGGCCAGTAGATCTTCAGCTACACCTTTCTTAAAAAGTTTGCATGTCTGTTATTGATCCTCCTTTGTTTTGGATTTCCCTTTAATATATAGTGCAGATTTGGATTAGCCTTCAGGCTTGAGTATTCTTGTCTTCTGACCCTAGCAGAGGTTCTAGACTCCTGCTCAGCCTGAGAAATGCTTTCACTATGGTATGGAAAGAAGACAAGGTTAGCTTCAGTTTTACAGTCTCAGCTCTGTGTGGCTGCATTTTATTTTCTTCAGGTCTTTCCATGTTTGCATTCATCCAATACCTCTTTCAGACTTCTTTCTGCCTACCTCAAATTTTACCTGGAAAGCCACTGCCACACATGATGTTTCCCTGGTGGCTAGTCAGGAGTGGTGCAAAACTGAGTTCCTTGGCAGGCATCCTGCTCTGCTTTTGCCCATGTGCAATGTTGTGACAGTTTGTCATGGTCAGAACAGTTCAGCACTCAGCAGCTGCAAAGGGGTTTAATTGCCCTGGCTCGCACAGAGCTATGTTCATTTACACCACCTGAAAGCCTGCATTCACTGTGCTTTTTTTCCCCCCAAGTCTGTTCTAGTTCATCAGCTGAGGAGCTAGCCAACTGTTTTTCATAGATGTGTCATCATTTCTATTAAGATGAATGTGATAATAATGTTTTATCCTGTCAATGAACACTGCTGTGTATGCAAGCATTCAAAGTCATGTTAGTAGACTTCAAAGGATATACTGCATAATCAAGCAAGCTGCTTGTGAACTGAAGGTAAGATAAATCTTCAGTGTCCTAGTAAGCAAAATAAATAACAGTATATTGTGCTTACATTTGACTGTCCTCTGTGATTCTTGTTTGCGGTGCCTCTTTTAAACTAAGTGCTGAAACAAGCATGTTCAATTGATTAGAGAGATTTTTCAGTGTGTGTGAGAGTGTACATAAAAATAATAGACTTAATCTAGTCCTGCCAAGTTGTTCCTTCTGTTTATACTGTATCATATAAATCTAGCATGCTAAATGTAAGCATGGTTTCTTTCCTCTCAGAAGTGAACCCTATGCCCAGTAAAAGGAAAAAGAACTCATGGACTTCTATGGAGAAATACCTAATTGTCTTGGTCTGGCTCCTTCAATACTTTTTTTCCTTGGTACTAACTAGAATTGGGTCCATTCCATAAGTTCCTGACTTTGCTTCAGGTCTTTTGGATACTGTGGTAATGTAATGTAATCTTGCACTTTCTGACTTCGTAGGTCCTTTAACACTTTATTGTGAAAGCTTTCTGAGAGACTGTAAGAACTATAACAACTAGTTCTGTCACCCACTATCATATGAATTTATTCAAAGAATAGAATAGAGACATCTTTTTTGTAAATAGGTTAGACTTCATTGGGCTGTAATCTTTATATTCATCCCAAGTAATTTACAAGTTACAGTGTTTAATGATCAGTAAAAAAACCTGTAGGTAAGGATTGGTGAAAATGATCTTTGAATTAAGAACTATACAGAATACCAAAATGCATAAGACATCTCTTAAACTTCCCTCTTCTTTCTTTACTGTGTATCTTTTTGTGGGATGACTCCTGCCTACTTTCCTTTTAAAGACTTGGGTAAAGGGCAGCTGATGAAAGAAAAGAGTATCCTTTCAAAAGTCAGAATCTGTATCTGGACTTGTTACTATGTTATGTGATCTAGAAATAGGCAAATCTAGAACCCTTAAGATCAGTTGTTGACTTGGTATGCAAGAGCTGCTGTGGAGTTAGTTCATCCTTCAGCACGAGTTGAACTTAGAGCAAACTACGATGGTGTGAAGCATCACTTCTGAAGAGTTGACATTGTTTACAAATCAGAAATTAGAGCGCCTCTCTCCTGACTAAATGGCAGAAGAAGAATTACATCCCTGGCATAAACTATGTGCTATTGCACCAGATTTGAATAAAGCCAAAAATGTTATTGCTGTATCTGATTACAATTCATTTATTCCCTTCCCTAGATCCCATAGTTAATTTCGAAGCTGAACATGAAAGATTGCTATTTGAGTGTGGTGTTATGTCCCCTAGTATACGCTTAACATACGTGGTGATATGTTCCATGTATTATGGATTGCAGAAAGTATGGCATTGTAGCACAAGCAGTATTATTTGTGATGTTGCAATGTTAGAATCCAGGATGTTGTGACATTAGAAACGAGGATGCTGTGGGCTTTTTTTCCCCTCTCTAAGTAATCTTCATTCCACAGAATTATATTCAGTATTCACAAATGCTATGTATACTGCTGTTTAATGTAGTACTTCGCTGGCTTTTATCAGAGCACTTAGCATTTACTAATCTATTGCTATGCCCAGTTGCTTGTGACAGCTTAAAAGGGAATTTTCAAAACATTTTTAGGTGCAAAGATTATAATTTACAGCAGATTTCCAATGTGTCTACTTCAGAAGAACCCAACTTGGGTTCTAAATGTGATTCCCAAATGCTGCAGCTGTATTAATCAGTACTTGTTAGGCCACATCTAGAATACGGCATCTAGTTTTGGACCCCTCCATACAAGAAAGGCATTGACGAACAGAATTGAGTTCAGGAGAAGGTCATGAGGATGGGGGTGGGATTGGGGTCAGGACTAGATGTACCTCCTGTTAGAAGAAGCTGAGGGAGCTGGGCTTGTTCACAGCCTGGAGAAGAGGAAGATTCAGGCACAGCTAACAGCGACCTTCCTGTACTTATGAGGAAGTTATCAGGAAAATGGAGCCAGGCTCTTCAGTGGTGCATAGGATAAGACACAATGGGTGTAAGTTGAAACATAAGTCTTAGCAAGGGAGGTTCAGACTAAATATAAGAAGAATTTTTACCTCATGGAGGACAGTGAAGCAGCGGGAGAGATTTCCAACAGAGTTTCTGGAGTCTTCATCCTTGGAGATTTGCAAGTCCCAGCTGGACAGAGCCTTTGAGCAACTTGGTCTTCCTTTGTAGGTAACCAAGTTTTGAGCAGGAGGTTGAAGTAGACATCCTGAGGTTCCTTCCAGCATGACTTACCCTATGACCTGTGCATTTTCGATGATAATTAGTAGTTGTCCCAAGAAATATACTCCAGACAAGGCTTGTAGACTTCCAAGAAAGACGAAGAATTTATAGTCAAGTGTTGATGTTTAATTTTCTACGGATCAAGCAAAATGCTGGATGAGTTTTGAACAATCTTGATGACTTTGATTCCTTTTCCAATATCTGTTTGGAAACTATCCCAGTAGGAGAAACAGACCAATTCAAAGCATACTTATCTCACCTACTTGGTACAAAAGGGTATTGTCTTATTAACATATCCAATTCTTTCTGCTAGTATAGGTCACCTACAGTCCAGCAGCCCAAGATACAAATTCAACTTCATAGCAGATGTGGTGGAAAAGATTGCACCTGCAGTTGTACACATTGAACTTTTCCTCAGGTAATGCTTCCAATTCTTTGTGTTTCAATTGCATTGTTTAACAAGGGTCTACAAAGACTTTTCCAGTGCAGTAACTTTCAGTTTGAATTCTTGAAGTCCACAAAATACTCTGAAACATTACAGATTCATTTATCTAGAGAACCACCCATTTCTGTGTTTTGTTTCTGTTCAGTAGATCTATTTTATCAGGCTTATGGTCTTTACAGTTCTTTACAATGCATATTGTCTGCCATAAAATGTCTATCTCATTTTTGGAGGTCTCCTCAGCCTTCACTAAAATGTGTTGCTTGTATTGTGCTTATTATCCCAGTTTAAAAAATAAAAGTCCAGAAGGTAACCTGGAAAAATATAGCTCCTTGTTGCACTCTGTTTTCATTGAGAGGTGATTTTATTTTGGCAGGGAGAACATTAAGAAGTAGCATGTTGACCAGATGTAACCTATCTAAACACAGAAATGATTTCTGATAGAAAAAAAAAAATGTACTAAATTTGCTGACCAACACATACCAATATTCAGTGTACTGAAGCTGGAGCTGAGGTGGCAAGTTTAACACTGAGTGCTCAAAACAACCTGGGAGGCAGGTTTAACATTGAGTGCTCAAACCAACCTGCTGTCAGAACAAATCACTGCAAATATTACATGTACTCCATTATCTGAATACTTTTCTGCTTGGAGTACTCGCATTTTGCATAGGTTTAAACATTTCTTGGAGGAATTTATAGGCTTTTTTAATATGCAAAATCGAGATGATCAGGTTTTCTAAGACATAGCTTTATGCACAGTGATCGATCTTCTGAGAGAATGTTACAGTTGGAGATGTTTAAGGTCTTTGCATATGTAGTTAAGGTTGTTTGTTCTTTCCCTATAAGTAAATGTTTGTCCAGCAGCCTGCTGGGTGCTAATTGTGATACTGTCTTTTGTCTGGGATTGGCTCCAATTCTTTACTGCTGAATAGCCCAGAACTTTCCAACAATTTCCTAATAAGGACCACATCTTGGGAGAAAGATGAGTTTGTGGACCTTTTCTCATCTACTGCCCAGGCACTCTCTGTTCCCCTCACAAATCTATGGTCATTACAGCAGTTGTTCATAGAGAAAAGTCATAGTACTTTAAACAGTTTATGAAGTCTTTTAACTGTCTGTATTGCATTAAATGTTTTCTACCAAGTCTTATATATTGGTGGTGTTCTTTATTTATTTTCTTTCACATCCCAAGTCTTTTCAGTTTCCAGACATGCTTCTTCCTGCCAGTCCACACCTGGGCTTCATTACTCCCTGAGACGTCACCTCTTCCTTTACTCCTCTGTCCAGCTCCAAGGTTCCTTCTTCCATTTTTCCCATTAGAGGACCAGTCCATTTGTCAGCCCTACTATTTCCTGTCATTGTTTTCTTCAGGTATAGAAGCAGCTACTGGTGGCATCAGATGGACTCCTCCTCCTTCCCTTTTTGTCACCTAGCCTCTTTGCAAGGAAGCCTCTAAAAATAGACTTGGAAACCAAAGGAAAAGGACCCTGCATGCTGTCTGAAAACCTCAGTTCCTATCACCCTGGCTGACTAAAATTAGTTGCAATGTTCAGCAAAGGGTCCTTTGTCAGTTTTTTAAGTTTAATTTTTGTAAGGGTTGTAACATTGGTCACCAAATGTTTTGCTATTTATCAGGGTGAAAGGTGGTAAATGATTTCCAATGTAATCTTCTCAAGTTATGCTTCTCTTATTGAGTTATAATTACTTGCTTTGTGTACAGGCACCCTCTCTTTGGTCGAAATGTCCCACTTTCCAGTGGATCTGGGTTTATTATGTCTGATTCTGGTTTAATTGTCACCAATGCCCACGTGGTGTCAAGCACCAATGCTATATCAGGGAGACAACAATTGAAAGTACAGCTACAGAATGGAGATACCTATGAAGCAACTATCAAAGACATTGACAAGAAATCTGACATTGCAACAATAAAGATTCACCCAAAGGTGAGTGGCATAAGCAGATGAATTAACTGAGAACCCTATTTCAGTTTCATTTAGTTTGGAGTGGTTAAATGGAATATATGTTTAGGGATTCCTTGGAAATATATCTGGGGAAAACAATGTACTGTAATACACGCCTGGAGATTTTTCGTATCTTGGAATTAAATTACTTTTGTCTTCTGTGCTAGGAACTGCTAAAAAAAGGGGAAAAAATGCAGCTCAGGTAATATGTGGCCATATTCTGCTATCTTTACCTGAAGACCCATGCTATTTTGGTTAATCCTTCTAGTTTTGTGCCAGTACATAGATGGCAAGGTGATACATAGGATGGGGAGAGCAGCAGGTTGGTCAACAGCTGCTTTGTATGCTGTTTCTAGGAGCTGCAGGGAACAATCTGCTGGAAAACAGGGAAATCTTGTTTCAGAATCTTGATGGCTCTGTTGTCTGGGTGAAATTGCAAGGTACTACTGCTAGCAATCTTGTTTCTGAGGACAGTTTAAAGCAGTAACACCATACAGTCTCCTAATTTTACCTGGCATTAAGTTTTGGGTATATGAGTGGCTCTTCCATTAATGTAATGGAAAGTATATGTTCCTAACTTCTTGCTAGTTTTTGACCTTTCCAATCAGGTTATTTTCAGATATAAACTAATGCTTATATCTTTCTTTCTGTGTTTACTTAAGAAAAGACTACCAGTATTGTTACTGGGACATTCTGCTGATCTGAGGCCAGGAGAATTTGTGGTGGCGATTGGAAGTCCATTTGCCTTACAGAACACTGTGACAACCGGCATTGTCAGCACTGCTCAGCGAGATGGCAAAGAACTTGGCCTGCGGGACTCAGATATGGATTACATTCAGACAGACGCTATTATCAATGTAAGTACTGGGAATGTGAGGACCTGAGCTTCACAGTCCTGGGACCTTGAAATCCCCACCTGTTCAGCAGAGAAGTGTGTGCTCTGAAAGGTGAATCCACTAAATACAAGCAGCTTTGTTTAAAATCGGTGATAGGCTCTTCTTTTTACAAAAGATTATGCAGCGTCTGCAAGTTGCGTTCAGGCCTTAGTGTTGTGAGATGTATGATAAATAAAACTACTGTCTTTGAGATTATCTGTGAAGACCCTTCTAATTGCGTAGATCTCGTACAGTAACAGATGGTTGTACATACCAACAGTAAATCAATACATTTGTCTCTGCTTGATCAGCTGATCTGTCCAAGCAAGCTGTAGAATAGAGCCAAATCATCTCCATGCATTAGAACCAAATGGAGTAGTCAAGTTGATAGTATCTGCTTCAGTTTAATGACAGGACACCCAGGTAAGCGCTTAAGGAGAGGTCTGGGGGGGGGTGGGGAGTGTGTGGTGGTGTTCTTGTTTTTCTTTTGCACATCACATACTCCAAGTAAGAATTTAGATGTAAAATAACATAAAGTTTGAGATACAGTTTGGAGTTAAGGGCCCTAGCACTGCATGTTATATAGAAACACATGAAAGTAATGTCCTTCAGAGCAGCTTGGAGGGATCCAGAGAGCTTAAGTAAAGTCCTTGGGTGTGTATCTAACTTGTACTGATTCTAAAAAGAGCACTACAGGCATATCCGAGGTAGAAAGTGGCCTGAAATTTTACGGCTTAATCTTAAACATTGAAGGGAAATATTTTCAAAATTTCTTTGCTGGACCTTGATGTCAAATTTCACATAACAAGTCATAATGCATAAGAGTTTTACACACAAAGCACTTCACAAATATTCATCATCACAGATCTGTCGAGAGAAATTGTATGGGGGGAAAAAAGAGGGTAATTACTTTTGGTGCCAAGATATGTCATTTAAAAAAAGTGAGCCTTTTGAAAAAGATTCTATATGATCCAGGAGCTGAACCTCTTAAGACATTTAATTGGAATTACTCTCTTCAGTTGCCTAGAAAGAATAGGAAAACTTAGGGGAAATTGGTTACTTGGGAGCATACGCTGAATTGGTGGCAGAGACAGAATTAGAACATGGGATTCTTGACTTCACGCCTATATGCATTCCTCAGGATCAGACTGCTTCCTTGTATATACTTAGGCATTCACTGCCCTCAGAAGCTAATAAGGAAGTATAAACAAGGTTAGCAGAGTGTGTCAGATAGTGCTAGACTAAATGGAATAGTGATAGTAGAGGAGGTAAGGAAAATGACAATATATTTGAATTACTTTGCAATCGGAGACCACAAAACATGAAGATAGTCACTGGCATAGGGATGCTTTGTGCTTAGCTAATGCACTAGTTTTCTCTTGAGAATGGGAGGAGTTTGAGAGCTGGTCTAGTCAGAGCATTCCTGTGGCTCAGCCAAGAGTTTCCTGCAGGAATGTGCATGCAGCTGCATTCTGAGAAATGCTAGGACAGCAGGAACATGGAGCAGGAGAAAACAGGGCCATACGTTCCTAAATGGATCTATACTGCATGTGCTGAAGGTTGTCCATTATCACATCCTTCAAGCAAAGGACAAGTCAATGAAAGATCATATGCTGAGGAAGGCTGAAAAATCATTATCTTTGTTCCTTTGTGTCAGTCAGACATAAAAATAAAGTGTGTAGCCTCTGATCACTGAAAAGATAGAATGTAAGAAACAGATCCCTTTGTTTAAACTTGAACTTCAAAGCTATTTTAAAAACTTTTAATGTCTGTTTTATTCTTCTGAGAATCTATAAGGTTTGCCCAGTGCTATCTAAGTGTAAATAGTTTATATGGCTCATATTGCTGTCATGCATCACTCAGCTTTTGTTTCTTTTGAGTGGTAAGTTGCTGCTCTTGGCTGTGCAGTAGACCTACTTGAAAACTCTGGCCTTGCTCAAAAACAAACTTGTTGAGCCAACATGTGGATGGACAAAAAACTTCTCCAACTTTCATTTCCTGTAGTCCTGTTGGATGTTTCCTTTGAAGGCCATTAAGTATTAGGCAATTTTGGACTGCTCAGAGCTGCTATATATCCTCTCTAGAGAGGGCTACATGTCTGTGGTTACTAAATCAATCCTTACGTAGTAGGATTTACCTCATGTAAAGCACTGTGTTCTCCAGTGGAGAATAAGAGAGAGAATGACAATGTTACAAACCAAAGTGACAAATAAAACTACTGAAGAATTGCATGGGCACCTCACTGAAATACAACTTCAGATAGCAATTAATTATTTCAAAACCTTCTTCTGACAGTAGAAGAATCTAAATACTTATTTTAGTTATTTAATAATCCTTCTTAAACTTAGGGTCTAACTATTTGGAGTGTTAAGTTGCCACTCCTAACTTAAAGCCTGTCTCTGAAAAGAAAAAAATATCATAGGAGGTATGAACTGATAGGGTAAGACCTACCGTAATCTTCTGCGATCGGTATTGCGTCCTTACTGTGCCTAAGAAATGACCTGCTCTTTTTTATTTACTTATAAAGAAAATACTGTTTGAAATAAATATTGTGTTTCTTACAGTGAAGCACCAATTTATTGTTCCCTTATGTCATTTTTACAGTACGGCAACTCTGGAGGACCTCTAGTTAATCTGGTAAGTCCAAGTGACTTGGCTTCTGTTTTGTTTCAAGAGCTAGTTTGAAAGAAGTGGGAGAATTTTTTTTAAAGATTCATAGGTCATACCAGTTTCTAGTCATTCAAGCTAGTGTTAGGCAGATAGTCTGAAGCTAATTCAAACTGCAAATTAAGTCTCAGTTCATACAGCATAGAACATTTCCCCATAGAGCAGAGGAAGCTTTACACAGAAATGAGGAAAATGGGCTCTGGTAGGAGCAGTTATGCTTGTTCACACTATGAAACCTGGGATACATGGCAAAGATGGGACCTGGTTAATTTGCACAACCGATTTTAAAATAGATTGCTTTAAACTAGCACTGATTTTGCAGGTTGGTGAATTGTAGCTGTAGTGGTAGTAGTGACTCTACTACCAGCTCAGTGGAGGGAATCTTTTGCTGAGTGGTAGGACGGACTGTGGATGAACAAACTGTACTGTAATCTTTTTGGCATCACAGTTGAATGCAGAAGGGGTTGTGAATCAGAGCCCAGATCCTCCCTTACAAGTAATGTTTATTTCTTGAGCAATGACAACACTCTAAAATTTCTTATACCAGCTTTTAACATGAAATGCTAGGCAGTGAGCTGAACCTAGTCACTTAGGAGCAAATTAATTGGGTGCTGTCTCTCTCAACAGGATGGTGAAGTGATTGGGATTAACACCTTGAAGGTCACAGCTGGAATTTCTTTTGCTATTCCTTCAGACCGCATCACTCAGTTTCTCACAGAGTCACATGACAAACAAAGTAAAGGTAAGGTCTGCAAGAAACAGTGACATCTTTCAATTATTATCATGATCTGTTGGTGAAGTGCCAAAAGACACAGGTCTGGGATCTTAACTGCTAAAAGAAGCAGCATTATTTTAGTGTAGAACACCATAGACCTGGAAATAGAAAACAGCTTCACAGAAGTGGGAGAGATGTTTTATTACTCAAACCCCTGAAGAGTAGACAGTATCTGTATAAATCTGTGAAAAAGAGCCTCTGGGGATAGTGAGGACACAGATGAGTCATTACAGTCTCAAGTAATCTTGAGAACAGATGGTGACTGGTTCAAGGAGTCTTACACTCCTCTTTCATATACTGTCCAAGCAAAAAGGAGATTAAGGTGTACTATGGAGAATAAGGTAAAAACTTTTAAAAACACTTGTTCACAGGTGAAATGTAGTGTGTGCACTGTTGTGGATAATCTTTATATTACTGTGGTCATCTAAGTACTATATAATGAGATATTGTGATAGACTCTCAGATCCTGGTGAGAGAGCTGTGTGCTAATTCCAGAAGGAATACATGGGGAAGGAGGGGAGAGGCAGAAAAAAAGAAAGGCCTTTGCACCAAAGAGCATATAAACCTAAATATACCAGCAACTGAAAAATGCAGTACTCAGGACTATTTTTTATGTGCCTGCCTCGTATCTGTCGCACTGTACAAGGTCTCATACTGTGTGCTGCACAGCCAAAGCATATCTAGTAATGCTTCATCCAGGCCAAACCTTCCTTTCTCTTTTGCTTGCCAATTTATCTGTCCCCACCCTGCTCATCTACTATCATGACTGTTGGCTGCTGCTTCTCTTGAATCTTTTTGATATTAATCTTGTCTTCTGAGTTCATCCAGCCTCTCATGTCAGGGTTGTTTCTCTACACCATTTTCCTCTTAGTGTTCTCTCAGATAGTGTTATTTCAGAAACTTCCTTAGTCAGAGGTTTTTAAGTTATGCATCTGCTCATATATTTGAGACCATGTGATGGGTCTCCTGTGTTTTGCTGAATTCTCCATAGGTTGTTTTCACTTGTTGATTGGAGAGGGGTGTGTGGGGTCTGTGTGATGAAAAAAGTTATTAATTATGTACTGAAAAGTACATTTCAAAGTAGCTGACTTAATTTTGTTCCAGCCAACAAGTCAAAAAACAGGTTACTTACTGTATGTTGACTTCTGAAAGAAGCAGGTCTGTACCCTTGGTGATGTTATCCTTCGGAACCAAACCAGTCATCTCAAAACAAAGGAGAGCAACGGCTCACCCTGCAGGCATGGCTCTAGAGGCATGTGCTGAAAGCCCATCTTCTGTCAGGGGTCTTGGTAAATGGGGCTGGAACGTCAGTGAAGGCTAGAGACACCACCACTGAAATGAGCCACCTTGCTCCTTCAGGCACCTTTAACTCCAGAGAACAATGAACCTGCTGAGCCCAGCTGGAGGGCCTAGAGATAGATCTGCCCGTGGAACCCTAAGAAGAAACAATAATGAAAGATTCAAGTTCACTTCTTCCTAGCATCAGTGCAACTGTCATTACTTGGCATACCCTGGAAATGGTAGTTTAAAAAGTTGTGGTTTTTTTTTTTCTTCACTTGTCTGAAGTACCTCTTAGCCTTTTGCTGCAGGCAAGAGAACAGTCATTTAAAGCCCTTGATACATAGAGAAAGATCATTTCTAGGATATAATTTTTCTAGATTTGAGATTTAGTTTGCATTGTTTAGGCCTTCAGTAATAGTTTTCAGGTTTTTTGTATAGGCATTATTTCTTGACATAAAGAATTTATGTAAGCAGAACTTTTGGGATGTTTTTATCATGTTTTCTGTTCCTCTAGTTCCAGTAGCTTCAGTGGGATCCACCCTTATGGTACAATTAGGTCATAAGAAATAAGTTTAAGGTTACTACCATTTTGCTCTAAATATCGGATTGCCTAAAGATGATAAAATTCCCTTAGGAAACCACTCTTTCCAGTTTTACTCTGTCATATGGGAAATACTCAAAATATTGTTTAATAAGCTTGACTTTAGTCTTTTAAATTTCAGTTGATCAGATAACTACCAGTTTTACATAGAAGGCATGTATTTTTGAAGTCACATGCATTGCCTATAACTGCAAATATATGATCTACTGAAGTACAGGAGGAGGAAAAAGGAGAGGATAGTAGTGGAATGAATTACTTGCATTGATTATTATTGTCTAAACATTCTATATTACCTAATGCATGCACAATACATAATATGTAATGTATTTCGACAACAGATTTGCCACACTGCATAGAGACAGTTATCTCTTGAATGGTCCTGAAGGCCTTTGCTAACTTTGCATTTTCACTAGTAATGTCAACCTACTTCTGTAGTTAGGAATTCCTAAACTTGTGGATGAAGTGAAGTATCTCCATCTATATTTAGCCATCTCTGTATTCTGTCTTTACTTTTAAGTCATCTATATTCTTAAGCATTGACTGATTTTATTTATTTAACTTCAGTATCTTTTAGTATCCTATAGAGAATTTCTTTCAGCCTTGGCTCTGCTATCTATTCCTAGTTTAGACTTGAGCAGAACAGTAAAACTAGAAAGTGTTTGAACATGTATCATCTAGGACAGAAGACAATAAGTTAGCAATTTGACAAAATATTAAAGAGAAAATCCAGCCTAAGAGGTCAGTCTGGTCTCTCATATAATGTTAGCAGAGAAGTGAATAGACCTTGTTTCAGATGAGTAAGGAAAAATGGGGGACCTCTGCATTGGCCACACCCAACAGGTCATTTATATGTACCCTTATTTACATCCCCAGAATGCTTTTTTAGTTGTGTTGAAACTGTGTGCTTACCTGTGTATTTGATTATTACTGATAATTATTAATACTCATGAGGGTTTTCTGAGTATACATTCAGACTACTGATTAACTTCAGCTATGCTATTTATATGGAAGGTACACTGCACATAATTCAGCATTATAGACTCAAGCTCTTTTTGTGGTTTCTGTTTGGCAGTGGGGTATCTTTCTTAAATGCTTTCAGAACTACTCATGCAATCTGCAAGACAATCTGAGTGCAAGAGGGGTGAGCAGAGAAATAAGAGCTTTGCCTGTCACTTGAATAAAAAGTGCAGGATTCATTTCTTCACTCAGAGATCTTGGTGATATCCTGGCACCACTGAAATCAACTGCAGTGGGGACACTCATGTGCCAGAGTTTATTCATGCCCGTAAGAGTGAGTACCTGACTCCTTAATTTGGATTTGTCAGTTCTTCTTGCCACAGTTTATAAGTCATAAACACTTTTGTCTTCAGCCTGGGTTTATCTGTCTGGTTTGTATCGCTATTGTTACAAGCATCAACAAAAAAATGCTTTCCTTGCTGTGGAACAGAAATCTCCATAAATAATGAACTGCTTCTAGATACTTGGGGTCAGCTGCTTGTGACTTTCTATTAACACAAAGCAGATTTAAGTTTAAACTAATGGTCGAGGACGGTTTGCTTGACTTTGTACGACTGGAATCAGTGTTTAATGTGGCCTGGTGTTTACAAAAATGAAATGTAATTTGAATAACCTTCTCTGCTGTGCTCTGCTCCAGCTTTAAGCTGTGATGGTTTCACATTTGTTCAACCTTACTCTTTCAACATATTAACCTTCTTTTAACTACTGCTGGGATTTCACCCTGGTGACGCACTTAGATTTATAAGCTCGCTTTATTCCAGTTCTCTTAATTATTTTTTCTTCTGCTTCATGATTGCACAAATTGCCAGAATGACAGGTTTTGAGACTTTTTATTCCCAGAACAGATGTAAGATGACAATGGTAGTTCCAGGTGCCACATACTGTTCTGCCAGTGTGACTTAACCCTGACATCAAAATGCCTGTCCTTTGGGGTGATAAAACATCACAACTGGTTGATTGTGCCTGTTCAGTCTCTGCTGATACTCTAACAAATTGGACAATTATATTACATCTGATCATTGTTGATGAAAAAATTGGGGTTTTGTGTAAGATGTTTGATTGTGAATGGAACAGACTTTTGCAAAACAAAAGGCCTGCAGTTTCTTTACCTGTATTCTTACATATGAAAAGGCTCAGAGGTGGGAAGGGGAGGAATCTAGACTCTGCTGCTAAAATAATCCATAGCTCATAGCTGTTAGTTTTACTTTATGTAATAGCCTGCTACTCTTATAATATGAACCGCTATTTACAGTACCAATATACCAAACTTACTGTGGAGAGAGGGGAGAAGGTGAGTTTTGAGTTTAGTGCATGAACATGGATGAAAATGTAGCCCAAACTGCCCAAAGATGAGGTGGAATGAGACTTTTATTTGTGAATAAATCTATAGTTACCAGATTGTTTTTTCCAAAAGCTGTATTTTTACATGTATCATTAGCCACTGGGGAAATAATTCCCTTTTAGATCAGCGGCATCTCTGCTGTGGTTTTTCATTCTTGCCCAATCTCCTCCTTGCTGTTTTGTTTCTTCCAGATCAATTTCTTTTGTCCCTTCATTTCTGATTTTTCTCTCATGTAAACATTCCTTACTCAGCCTGCAGAATATGCTTTGTGCTTCTGCATATTTCTGCATCATAGAGGCAATGACCAGCAGCAAGCTGTTTAATGCACAGTAAGGAAATTTTTATCTGAGAGTCTGTCATCTGTGTGTCTCATGAAGACAACTTCATTATTTAACTGTCCACACTGCGGGGACAGGGGGATTTTCAGGTGGGAGAGTTATCAAGTTTGGATATTTTTAAAAAGTGAAAACTTAGATTTATGCCATGTAGAGTAGAGAAGCAGTATGAGAGCACTAATTCATGGCCATGCCCAAGCTTTTGAGACTTTGAGTAATTGGACTTCTTCCTGACACTCTTACTATAGCTGATTTTGATCTCATTAGTTTCACCTTAAAATATGGGAAAACCAGAACATTTCAGGAAAATCAGGGATGATAGTTACAGATGTAAGATTGTTCAGAGTGTAGTAAATCCAGTGTTTAGTAGTTGACACTTTCACTGACACTAATGGGAATATTGGACATGCATAAGATTCAGGACTAATTCCTTTACTTGGGACTGTTTTTCTTGGAAGGAATAAGAGTTCCATGAGACTCTGCACATCTTCTTTTCAAACTTGTTCCTCACATGAGAACATGGAGAAGCTCAAAGAAATTGTGAAGTAGTTATGCTGGAACGAGTAAGGGGAAATACTGTTTCACACCGGATATAACTAACTACTGAAGCACTCTCTTCAGGAAGTCATCAAACTGCATTTTCATAAGACAGCTGTGCAATATCATGACTACTAAAAGCAAGCTACAGAAATGTGGTGCTGCTCCTACAGGAGTGAATTTTCACCATTTAAAATTCTGTAGAGTCTTGGCTAAGGTCTGTAGGTTTTTTTTAAAAACTTTGACTTTTTTGGGGACAGAAATAACAAGCTATATGCATTGGGATCAGTGTGAGGTTTTTTGCTCTCCTTTCTCTGAAAGGTGGAAATTTTAATTTCTTTAAATCCTATTCCTACATTTTAATGAGAACACCGTATGATTAAATTGTTTTGACCAGTTTCAGATGAAATGGTGGTTATGGAATTTTCCATTTACTGAAATTGTGTGATCATAGAATTTTTCCTGAATTTCCTGAAGGAAAACTCTTACGGAATATAAATGAGCTTCTCTTACCCTAACTTGCAGAGAGAGGGGTTGTGATTTTGTACACCAAGGCTAACCAAAATTTAAAAATTACCTCAGTATATAGGTGTATGATTTATCTTTAGTTTTGTTAAAAGCTGATACATCCTGTTTTAATTGACAGGTATTTTGGGTCATTAAAGTAGTTCTCTTTGTCACTGTCTAAGTTTCTTAAATATCCTCTATATTATTTTCAGATGGGAAGAAACGTTTCATTGGCATCAGAATGCTGACAATAACACCTGCGTAAGTATCTCAGAAAGGCAATCTATATGATCATGCATAGAAAATGTGGTCAATAGTAGTTCAGAACTTCATTCAGCTGTAATTACAAATCTCAGAGAATCCAGAAGTGTGTGTTAGCTTCTGTGGAGTCTGCAGGCATTTTCATATTGCTGAAATACATGTTCTGAGACATGGAAAATCAGTCTGTTATTTTCTAAATACTGATAATGTCCAGTTGATAGCTGAGGGAAGTTAGGAAGAGCCTTAATACTGGTTTGGGTTCTTGATGAGGATGTCTGGAATTACACTAGGTTTTAGATGACATTTAAACAAGCTGCTGCTTTCAGATGACCATGAGTGCTAATGGTAGATTAGCTGCCTGAGGATTTGGCAGTAGTTTTATCAGTGCCAGTGGTGACCATATGGTGTGAGATTTGATGTCTCGCTGTTAACTGGAAAGTATTTGCTAGAGTGCAGAACTAAAGCTTCATGCCTCCATGTTAACAAAGTCAGAATATGGACACCCTCCTCCAGTTCTTTACAGTCTTTTCTCTCTCATGTTGCTTTGTGTCTTGCTGTTACCTGGATATATTCTAGGATAACAAATGAGGGGTCTTCATGCATGTGTTCTTTCCCAGCAGTAGTAATGTTTCCAACGTGGCAGTAGACTACAAAATTAAAGATGACAAATTCTGCCTGGGGTTTTAGTAAAGCCATCTTTGTTTATTGAGTCACACTCTTGTAATCCTCCCCAAAGGGTCAGATCCTCAGATGGAATGAACCAGTGTAATGGCATTAACATCACTAGGCCACCACTGATGGAGAGAAGTTCAGAATGTTTCTCTACATAATTGTGAAGTGAACACAATATAAGATTTTACTGCTTTTGTGGTGTCTAATAAAGCACTGTTAAGATGTCTCCAGGTCTATTTTTAGGAAAAGATTAATTCCTTTGATTTGTTTTAGTCATTTAATTGTTAGTTTCCTCAGTACAAAATCAAATTAAGTGAACCTGTGTGCAGCCATTTTGGCTTGCTTTCCGTCTGAGGGACCCCAGGTTTTCATGACAGACAGCAGAGTATTCTATCATTGGTTAAAACCCTTTATTTTTAGAAATGGGTTTTAACCCACACTGTACACAGACCTGAAATGATGTCATCTCCTCAGAAACGAGAGGATGTTTTTAGAGTCTCTATTTTGCAGCTGGTTCCTGTCATCTTTCATTAGAAAAGGATGCACCAATAATTCCCCAGAAAACTTGAGGAAGTTGAAGTTTCCTTGAAAACTCTCACAGTTCCAGTCTATCTGACTGAAGTTATCAAAGCTGTATTGTTCTAGATAAAGACGAATTATGAATGACTTGCAAAATAAAATAAGCAAAATCATTAGCAAATTTCTGCACCGTTACCAGTATTAATTCTTTGGGGCACAAATGTCTTTTTGTCTCTGTACAGCGCCTAGGACAGAGTGACTGTCCATGTGCTCTTCCACAGTGCACTCTGTGGTACTGCTACAAATAGCAAAGGTCAGGTTCTTGCAGGAAAGTAGGTTTGACTCTCTTAAAACCTGTGTTACTTGTTTTGATCCAAATTCCAATCCCTTACATTGACATCACAAGAAAAAGGGGCAAACAACTGTTAAACCATTCATTTTTGGTCACAAAAAATTTGAGAATAAGTAATTTTTTTTTTAATGCTACTGCTTTTATAGTAGAATCAAATGCTATATAATGTTGTTCTTCTTTTAGCTTGGTGGAAGAATTGAAACACAATAATGCTGATTTTCCTGATGTCAGAAGTGGAATTTATGTACATGAAGTTGTTCCAAACTCACCTTCCCATAGGTATGTAGAACATGTTATTCTCTTCACCATAAGTAAATCTCCAAATAGATACTAGTAGGTAATATTTCTATTTATATTCAAGTACTTCCTCATACCAGCCTTGATTTGTAGTTAAACAATTTAAAATTTTTCATTTAGGTTAAAAAAAAAAAAAAATGTGCTAAGATTCTACTCACATCTACAAAAGTGGAATATTTCAATATCAGAACTTTTTAAATGACATTATGGAACACTAGCAGTGTGCAAATTTAAAGAGCACCCCAAATACAATGAACCAAATTTTGTTTTTGAAAAGTATGTTGAATGTTAAGAAATAGAAACTTGGATTGAGTTTAAACAGGAAACAGGATGGCTTTCACATAAGACACTGTCAGAGCTATCATCTGAGACTGCTTTATGTTAGAGGAAGAAACTATTTTACAGAACAGTTGGAAAATAAATAAGACACTTCTAAAAATTACTTTAGGAATGTTTAAGAAAATGCAAAGACAGTAAAACGATTCCCTTTGAGCATCAACAAAGAAATAATTTACCTGTAGTTCTGTTGGTATGATTTGCTAGTCTTGAAATTTTGACACTGCTTTAATTTCCAATGCTTGAAATACATACTGGAGAGATAAAAGTGTGTTCTTGCAAATGGATGGAGTGGAGTGAGTCAGTCATGGCTAAAAGTCTTTTCTATTTCCCCTTTGCTGTAGTTTTGTGGAAGACAAAGAGAAAGCTAGACAACTTTTACTGTTGGTGTGTTTTTGCTGTTCTAGAAGAAAATCCTCAATGAAATAATGCAAGACTGATGTTGCATTTAGCAAGTACTACTGATTATTCTTGCGCAGTCAGAAGGGTGGAATTTCCTTTCAGTGGAAACTAAAACAAGTAAAAAAAATAAAATTTAAGTCAGCCAAAGAGGTGGTGAATAGTTTTTGTGCTTTTTCTCTGCATAGAATGCATACTTACTACCTTTTTCTTGTCTTTGCAGAGGAGGGATCCAAGATGGAGACATCATTGTTAAAGTCAATGGGCGTCCTTTGATGACTTCCAGTGACCTGCAAGAGGCTGTGATGAATGAATCCCCTCTATTACTTGAAGTTCGAAGAGGAAATGATGACTTGCTATTTAACATTGAGCCTGAAGTTGTCATGTAAACATAATTGAGGAAGCTCTCACCATAATTAAACTCACTTATTCTGGAACACTAGATACCTCCTTTACAGCTACAGTAATTATACTTCCTGTTGACTAATGACAAGGTGGACTAACTTAATTGCCTGAGCCATTTCTGTACATAGTAGCTAGAATGAATTGAATTATGCCATTTATAGAAGATTTAACTTTCAAAGAAATTTAAGAACTGTGTTCTGGGGAGGGGGAGGAGGAAAACAAATTTTGGGTAGCTGGTAAAAATGGGGTCCTCTTCCAGTTCCTGCAGGTTGAGAGCAGATTCAGTTCTGCATTTTGAAAGACCAAAATACTACTGGAAGTGAGGAAGCAGGCCAAAAGGGGGAATTATTCTTAAACTACAGTCATAGCTGCAGCAGAACCAAGCTATTGCAATGCACAATTGAGCTTTTTTTTCTATATAATGTTTTCAATGTGAAACTAGTATTGGCAAAGCTTGTGTTTGTTCTTAGTGCTCCTGTGCTATATGTCAAAGCAGGTAGATTAAACATGTAAATACCCAAAGAAACAAAAATGGTATCAGGCTATAGAGTGTTACACCTAGGTCATGCGATTTTGGAATATAGTAAATGATTCTTATAGAATTAATGCCTTATTATATATAAATCAAAACGATGTGCTGAACAAAGTTAAGTTTGAGAAAGTGCACAATTTTTTAAGAATTTGATACAGATTAGTTTTGCATTTTACTAGTAAGCTTTGCTGTAAAATTGTTACACTACTTTTGGCTTGTACTGTGTCTGTTTCTACTGTAAGGAGATTAAAGTTTACACAAATAATGTGTTGGTGTAAACCTCTTTTTAAACAAGCATGTTTTCCTTCCCTCTTGTGTCAGACTGGAATAGACTCTCCCAAGAGAAAAATTGTGCAAAAAATTGGGCCCTGATGTTATGAAAACTCTGGCAGCCCTGTGGTATAATTATTCTGCCTTATTTAGAATATGTTTAGAAATGCTTTGGACACAAGTCATTTACACTGGTTTTTTAGTATTTATGAATTACTCTTTGATGTCATTTAGCAAGTATCGAGTTGGGATCCTTTTGTCCTCAATTTTGCCTGTACATGACAAGAAGTAGAAAGGAAGCACTAGTAGTAACCCTGTTTTACAGCTAAAGCATGTGAGACTTTTGTGTAATAAACTCAGGACAGAAATTGCTAAGAGCTAAATCTATACAATTGTCATATTTATTGGCAAATATTGCTACTGTTCCCCAAAGAGACAGAGGCGTATCTCTCTGAAGGATTTTTTCCAGCAAGCTGTGCTTTCTAGGCTTAGTTTTTGTGTCTTTGTTGAACTCCTTTTCGCATCAGAGTATTCTCTTCGGGGCAACTAGAACCTTCCTTTTAGGTTGCCATCATATCTAGACTTTCTGGCTATATCAATCAACTTGTTTATGACAACCCTTGCACCTTTGGATTTGTACAGTTGAAAGGTGAATGGGCTATATTCCTTTAAAAAAAAAAAAAAAAAGTACTGTTTCTTTCCATCACATTATGACCCATGACTTTAATAATGGGCTTGCACCCATACTCTCGCTAAAAGAAGAGCTGTTTTCACCCCTCCAACAAAAGATTCTTAGGTGTACCTGTTGAGTATTCCTTATTCAGAGGAGTTAACCCCTTTCCATTAAGATACAACCTTAGCATCCAAGTTTGCAAAATGCAAAAGCATTTTTCTCACCTTCTGATAGCTGGGGCATGCAGAAGGATGTTGTCGTGGCTAAAGTCAAGCCTATCTGTACATGTTACCGGTTTAGGACTGTCATCTTACATTGTGAGGGGTGTTCAACCCTATATCTATTGATTGATTAATATTATACAAGTTAAAATATTTCCATGAGTTTAATGTTAATTCTTCAGACATTTGACTAACAAAGTTTTTGGTAAGTAGACCCACAGAGTGATTAGCTTCTTTTACTGTAAGAGAAGCTTTTTGGCTTCCAGATAACACTGCAATGATTTTGAAATAAATTGTGTAACACCTCTTATTACAGTAATACTAAATAAAGTGACATAGCAGCATTAAAATAAAAGCAATACACTGTTGTTGGCACTAAGTGCCTTGGCATTTTAATCATGACACTGTATGGGGAGGGAGGAAGACTGTCCTTGCTCATTAAAAACTGTTATGCTCTACCAAAAGTTCCTTCTTTCCAAGCTTTCTCTGAAAATCTTGTGGAGCTCATACATCTTAAGAGTCTGCAAGGGCTGTTGCACTGGAGGCAGATTTCACCCTCAGAGAATAAATGTCAGCTTCTTTTAGAAAGAAAGCATTGTCACTTCCTTTCACTGAAGGAGCATCTGTGTCATTTCAACTCTGGTGTGACCCTTAAACTGCTGAGATATAAGAGTAGACTTTATTAATTGCCACTCATCCCCCTGACATCAGCCAGAGCTGCAATGATTAATTGCTCGATCTCAAGATAGAGCCAGCATCTGCTGATGCCAGCAGTTAAGTCTATAACACAACCTTGCTATCTTTGTTTCTTGGCTAAGATAAAATAAAACAGCAGTCGGTGTCTAAAACAAAACATTCAGGCAATTTCACTGTTGCAAGCAGTTACTGGCTGTGTGTCTCAGGCAAAAAAGAAGTAACAAAAGTGGATCTCTCAAAGAAACTGGACTGGCAGCTGCAGTTTTTCCAAGTCAAGGTTGGGTCAACAAAATTGGGTGTTTCTTCAGAGAAGAAACACACGTCTTATTAGATGGCTGTGCAGCTGCCTGAACCAGGTACTCGAAGACCCTTCTCTGCAGGGATGGCATCTTATATTTATCTCTGTATCCTCAGAGCATTTTTGGATAGGAGAGATGAGTAACATCCCAAAACGCCAGTGACTCTGCAAGAGGAACAGGTAATGGAGAGAGAGCCTTTAGACTGCAGTCAGTGTGGCACACACCTTAGCACCTTCCCTGAGTGCCAGCTCCTGTGGCTGATTATTTGTGGCTATTTGCTCCCCCACTACACAAATTCTCTTGCACTTGCACCTCTGATATCAGCTCAAAAGTATGATGTCACTGGAATTAAAGGCACTTCTATTTGCAAGCAAGGAAGACAAAGATAATTCCTTCCCTTACTGGGGATCTTGTAGCTCTGTCCAGGAACTGGACGTGACACGAGAGGTGCGTGAGTCTTGGGGCTTACCTGTACAGGTAAAAGGCTGCCAAAACAAGCTGGGGATTTGCATACTGTGGTTGTTGCGTTGGACAGAGCACTCTCATGGTCCTGCATTCGTACCTGCTGCAGCTCCAGGAATTTTGGTTTATGGGAATCTGGAAAGGCTTGAAAAGGCAGCAGAAACCTGAAGTTATTGAGGAGCTTCACTGGACACACAGAAAGTCAGTGCACAGCAGCTCTTCTGTGTAACGTGTTCTCTGCTGTTGTGTATGTTCTGCGCAAGCTACTGTGCACAAACATACTACCCAGCAGTCCCCCCTTTCTATACATGTCTTGTGACTGCCTCTACACCAGCTATTCTGTGCAAAGCTCTCCCGCACAGCTTCTTCCACAGGGGCTGTTTCACACTTTTGAAATTTTGCCCTCCACAGCAGTTGCTGTGTTTGCTTTTCTCCACTGGTTTTGCACCAGCTATTCTGTACCACCATATAGCCCAGACAGCAGTCTCACACTCTCAGTTTTGTTTTGACTGCTTGTTTCTTGCTTGAGGCTTTGTTGGTTTAGCAGAAATCTGGAAGAAAGAGGAATTATTTTTTTTTTCTTCCCAAGCTCTGAAGTCTGGAGTGCTGTGCTGAGCATTTCAAGTCCATAGCATAATACTAGAGCAGTGGGTTGATGAAAAGTTTCTTTAACTGCAAGACACTGCAGAATATAGAAGGTGATGCTGCCTCCGTTTAGGCACCACCAGCCAGGAACTTGTGTTCAAAGACATGCAAGGTTGAGAGCTTAACCCAGAGGGGGTGTGTATGGATAGTAAGAGTATGCTTTCTGTACCCACATATAGGATTAAAGTCTCAGGATTCCTTTGAAGTATGAGAAAGACTTTAAAAGGGGAGGGGAAAGGGTGTAGCATGTTTATTTTATTTTATTCCCTTTATTTACTTGGGTCTCTGTAATCATTGAACTGGACGTGCCTGGGGAAGGCATCCAGGTCTGTGTTTGTTCCCATCCCTCTTCCCACAGTAGTAGGTTATTTTTCCGACTTTGGTGTTCTGCAAATAGTAGATTTGGTCTTTTATGCAGACCTTCCCAGTGCTTGTGTCAGCAGATGCAGGTTGGTGGGGCTTTGCTGTAGAAGAACTTTCCAGGTCATGCCATGGGCTGTAAACTGAGGCAGTTAAGTTAAACCAGCAGTTAAGGCAGAGTTGTTTAGAAGACCTTGCTGGCTGGTCCAGTTCTCTGTCATCTAGCAAATATGTGAGGCAATGCTATACTGCATTTTTCTACTAAAAAAATGCTCAACAGTATATTCAATAGCCGTGAACTAATGTTTGGGGAGCATGGACCCCTGAGTGGAGCTTCAGGCTGCAACAGTCAAAAAAAGAGAGGAAAACTACATTTTTTTTTTCTCTTTTGATTTTTATCCTCTGGGAAGAAAGGTCAGACAGAGCAGGTCTTCCCCCATCCTCCCTTCCTCTTCCCCTCCCTTTCTGTCAGAAGGTTCCCCCAGAGACTGTGAGAATATGTCAATATTAAACAGCATTTTCCCTGTAAACATCTCTGGAGAATAACAGAAGCAACTGCTCGCTTCTTTCTTTCTTCAACAAACACAGGCCAGGGCTTCACAAACAACCAACTGAGGCATACTCAGGAAAAAACAAGTTCTTAGAGGAAGGAGTCGCCAAGGAAAATAATTGGGCAGCACAAGGGGTTTGATGACGCAGCTGCACAGCTGCTAAGTTCAATGACTTGTCGATTGCCTCCATCTGAAGTTCTGTTCCACTATGAGATGATCTTCTACCTCCGTAACTATAAATAACCAGGCACGATGATTTGCTGCTTGAAATCCCAGAAGCAGCTTGGGAAAAATACCAAAATCAAACCCTAACAACTAACAGGAAAACAAGAAGCCTTCAACTATCTTCTCAGTAAGATCCTAAATGTCAGAGAGAGACAGTGAAGCTGGAGAGTATAGTGCTAGCTCTTTTGAAGATGGCTTTCTAACATCTCAGTTGGACAAGATGTACAGCACTACAGCAATAGTGCCAACTGGTCTTCATCTGTGGGAGGACGTCTACCTCATGGTTGCTGTCACATAGACTGCTGGTTGTTTCATCTGAGCTACCTGGCTGGGTGTCCCTTAGCATCAAGGTAAAGAAACAGTAGCTTTCCTCTTCTCAGAAAGGAGAGGTTCAAAACAGGTCCAGAAAGTTGTATCCTAAACATATCTGCTATAAGGCCTCCTTCCTGTAAAGAGAGTCTCAGATGACCAGAACTGATGTACATGTCTGTGCTGTACAAATCCCCAGTTAGGTGCGATGACTTTCAACTCTACGATCTTAAGGTGGTTTCAGAATAATGAAGGTTTTGCCTTTGGTTACTAGTTAAATTCCAATTCTTATTTTTGACGAGTGAAAAAAATCCCAACTTTGTCTTGTGTCCACCAGAAGTAATCCATAAAGTTCTCGAGCAATGTGAGAAGAACTTTCTGAGTGTAGTAATATGTGATATTTCGTGATATTGTCTAGGTTTATCTACAACCTAGGTGCAGGCAGAAAGATGATGGATCCTGCCTCACTCAGGTGTACAGCTCACTATACCATGACATGCCGACCACAACCACCTACCAAAAGTTGTCTGATCAGAGTTAGAAATGCATTAATTACACTTGCCTTGCCAGCTG